TTTACGCACACCCCACCCCACCGAGGTGGGATGGGGTAGTGTGGGACTCCCCCCACCAGAGAGAACTCTGGTGGGGTATACCCACTAAAACCCCTGGGTTGTCCTTCTGCTGCCCGTTATGGTGCTCCCCGGTACCGCCTTATCGGCACGACCGCGGGGAAACACCGGTAGGCTGGGGGACTTACGCCCCCCTAACTAAGGTGGAGGAGTGAAGCTCCTCCACGATTGGAGGAGGGGGGACACAACCCCTCCTCCGCCATCTGCAGGCCGAGTGCAATGAGGGGAAAAAACCCCTCTCGGACCCAAGTCAAACGCCGAAGCGGACTTGACCCCTTGATACTGACCTCCCTCTTGTCTCAAAAAATCACGAAACAAGAGGAAGGTCCTCCCTCCCCACTACGCCCAGTAACCGCTGAGTTGAGCACAGAGCCCAAAACAGCGGTGACCGGGCCTCCGTCTAACACCGCCTGGACTCAAAAAAGAGACCAGGCGATATCCTCTTTTATATCTGGTGCTTACGCACCAGATATATGGAGGAGCGACTCCCCGGGTCCTTATACCGGAACCGGAGAAAGCCGCATCCTCCCTACTCCTATCAGGATTTTCTTTTATCAGGCACAGGAGCCCCCCGGCCGACAGCCGAACATCGGGCGCCGCCCATTCGGTGGGAGGACTCCCGGCCCGATTCCTCACAGAGAGGACACCTCTCGTCTTCTTTGCAGCCGGCCGCTCTGTGCCCCGGCCGACCGCAGCGATAGCAGAGATCACTGCGGTCGACCCCACTGGAGCACACAGCCCTGCAGTGCCCAGGCTGAAAGCACCTGAAGCACTGCAGGGGGCGGGGGCGGAGTGCGCGCACTCTCGCCTTCACCCACCCAACCGGCAGTCTTTCTGCTTTAATCGCCTTGGCCGCTACCTCAACTGGGCAGCGGACCAAGGCGACTCCCCCCGTGAACTGGGAGCGACGCAGGGATACAACCCTTACGCCGCTCCCGCCGCCAAACTCCGTCTCAAACTCCTTTCGGAGATCCTCCTCTGTCGTGAACTCGTCCAATCCCGAGACCAACACCTCCACGTTTCGGGACGGACGAGCCACGTTAACTCCCTTAGGAAGGGCCTCCCTTAACCTAGTGGCGAGGAGGTCCGCCTTAGACTTGCGGTCCTCCCCGCCCACCTCTAATAACAAATGCCCCTCCAGAGTCCTACGGACTCTGGAGACGCCCGCCAATTTGGGGTCCACCTTTTCCCTCGCGTCTCGAAGGACTTGGGCATACGACATGCCCTCCCCCTCGAGACGCAAGGTAACCGCCTCGGTACGCGGGAGTACCCCGCGAGGCGGCCGCTGGCCCGACGGCAGAATCCAGGGAGGAGAGGGGTCTCCTCGACCGACACCAGCGGTCCTCCCCTCTCCCCCTGTAGTCGCCTTATCCACCACCTTGGCTTTCTCCTTTTTCTTCTCCCTTTCTTTCCCCTTCCTCTTTCTTTTCTCTCTCTTTTCCTCCTTCTTCCCCGCCTGTGCCCTGACAGGAGCAGGCGGTGGAAGGGGAGCCCTACTAGGCGAGGTGGGCCGCCCCGGGGGTCCTCGCTCCAAAAGTTTCTGGAGCTCCCCCGAGACGGTGTTCCGCACCACACTCTCTATTTCCTCCAGCCAGGATGGAGGGATCTGTCCTCCCATCCTGACCGGAGTGGAGCATGTGGCTCCTTCCGCCGCCGGCATGGAGACGTCGGCGACGGCACGCACCGACGTCTCCATACTTTCCTGTAGCGCGTGAAGCGACCGGGAGGCCTCCTTGTGGACCTTCTCAATCGCCTCACGCGCCCCCATAAGATCTACCCTAACATCCTCCAGACCAGCCATACACTGAGCATGGCCCTCGTCAAGATCCTCGCTGATCTGGAGGATACCATCCGTAATTTGTTGCTCAGATGCCTTCTGCCTCTGAGCAACATCTCCTACCGCATTGACCATACAGATCACATCCCTCCCGATGCAATCAATCGACTCCTGTAGAGGAGTAAGCCGTACTCGGAGCTCAAGGAAACACGCCATAATTTTCTCCTTGAGCTTCATCGGCCTGCCCGCTCTCTCCTCCTTTGACATTTTGGAGCGACGGCAAAGTCGCTCCCAAAGTTCCTCCAAGGAGTCAGAAACCTGCTCGAAGAGGGCGTCCGTGTCCATCTCAGCAAGTGAACAATCGTCCGCCCCCGAGCCCTCTAGAAGAGCCGACTCAAGGCTCTTATCAGCCTTCCTTTTATCACCGGCCTTCTCAGCTGCGGCGGTAGCAGAGTGTCCGGAGGAGCCCGCCGTCAACTCCTCCTTCTGCCCTTCACTTGATAACGACGCGGAGGGAGCAGGGACAGTACTCCCACCGTGCCGGCCTCTGAGTGTCCGATCACTCTGAGGCGGTAAGCCCTTCTTCATTGCGTTGTCCATCATAGTTTTTTCTTCTTTGTTGGTGTTATATCGGTGTTTTCCTTCACCTAGATCGGTTGGTAAACAAAACCTAACGAGCCCGATCTGCCCGGGGGTTGAAGTGCTTTTAAGGCGGCACTCACTCGCCTTTGACGTGGATACTTCATCAGGTTTATGGGGCACTTTATAGGCTACTCCCTTCCCACAGNAGCAGCCACCCCACCCTCAGTATCCACCGCTGTTTGTCCGCGGCTGCTTATTCCCCCCAGAGGGGTTATTCGCAGCTAACCTCAGTACTTGAGGCCGTTCCCCTATCCGCAACCTGGGGACGCGCTCGGTGGCAGTCAGCTCTGCCCTTGGAAGGCCGGGGCTGTCCCCCCGACCCCCAAACCGAGGTCACAACCTAACCTAACCTAACCTAACCTAACCTAACCTAACCTTTTTTTTTTTTTTAACGAGAGGAAACCCTTTATGGGTACCCTAACTTGTGAAGGCGAATTAGGGTTAAGTGGGACTTACCTAAAGAAGGCGTACCCACTAAAACCTCTCGAGGCTCTGCGCACTGGAATGGAACCTGGAAAGCCAGAATGGCTATAACATCCCGGTTTCCCTCCCGCGCCCTGGGTGCTCAAGAGGGTACCACACCCCCTTGATGACAAAAAGGAGCCTGTCTTTTCTCGTCACTTCCTTGTTCGCGTACAATGACCAGGAGAGCCTTCACTCCCCCGAACTGCGAACTTTGACTCTCTCCAGTATTAGGGAAGAGAATCCCTTCCCTCTGCGTAAGAATCCGGNCAATGACCAGGAGAGCCTTCACTCCCCCGAACTGCGAACTTTGACTCTCTCCAGTATTAGGGAAGAGAATCCCTTCCCTCTGCGTAAGAATCCGGGACTAGANCCGGATCCTTCTCCGGGCCAAAGGCTGGCCCTGACGCAGGCGCTCCGCGTCTTCCTTGACTTGCATCACCTTCTCGCAAAAAATCAAGAAGGTGCGCCATTTCTCCGTATCTCTTACCGCCTGCTGAAAAACAGACGGAAGAGATATGTCAGGGCCAAAGGCCTCGTACAAAACCGCCCTCTCCTCAACCCACGTGGCGCACTCCTCCAGAGTGTGAGCCGCAGTGTCGACCGCAACTCCGCAGTGCTCACACTCCGGGGTGCCCACGCTACCCACTCGGTACAAATGTGTACCAAACACACCGTGCCCGGTTACCACCTGTGTCGACCTGAAAGTCATCTACAAGTGCGGGCACGCCATCCAATCTTGAAGACCTGGCCCCACCGCTTCCCGGACTCTCCGTCCCGAAAGGAAAGGGTCCTCCAGATCCTCCACCAGGCGTTGACGCCACCGCGCCAGTGTTCTGTCGCGGGCCGCCGACCGCGCTTGCCGGAGGTTCTCCGGGTTTAAGTCTCGGCCGGCAGCGCGCGCCCGAGCCAGGGCTGCCCGCCTGGCAGCGAACACCTCCGCGAACTCAGCTGCCAGCAAGTCCACCGGCGGAATCCGCGCCAGGACACGCACGGACTCCAGGGCCGCCGAGCACTAAGCCCGTACCACCCGGCCCCCAACAAGGCGCTAAACTCTTGCCAACGGGACAGCCGCACGGCCTACCCCGATCTCCCGATGCCACACCGGGGCCACATACATCGCGACAGAATGCACGACACTGGAATACAGCTTACGCACACTCTGCCGCGGCCCCCCGAGGTTCGGGAGGAGCCTGCTTAGCGCCCAGGCCACCCCGCTGGCCTTGCGGGCCACATACTCGAAGTGGGCCCTGAAGTTCCACCGATTATCTACCTGCAGACCCAGGTATTTCATGTTGGGTTGGGATACGACATGTGTCGCCCCAACCCACACGGTCACAGGACCGCCCCTACGACGACGGGGAGGGCGAAAGATAACCGCCTCCGTCTTGGCCGGTGCAAGGGCCAACCCCAGCTGTCTCATGCGGCGGGATACTTAGGCCACCGCCAGGGAAGCCCTCTCTACCGCAACCCGCTCGTCGTGTCCACCCGACAGCACGAGGGTGTCGTCGGCGTAACACACGAGCGAGCACCCTGGCGGGAGCCGAGCCCGAAGGACGGAGTCAAACCTTACGTTCCACAGGAGTGGACCCAAGACGGATCCCTGAGGGACGCCGCACGTGACGCGGTAGGTCCTGACGTGCCTATCCGCGCACGGAAATACGACGCACCGATTAGACAAGTATTAGTCCAACACCGCTCTGAGGTACGGTGGAAATCCCCAGAAGTCCCCCGCTTCAAAAATACTACCCCAGGAGAGGGCGTTAAATGCGTTTTGCACGTCTAAGCTGACGGCAACGCAAACGCTTTTTTTCCGGGTAAATCCTTCCGCCACAGAGCGGAAGCAGAGGACGCTTCCTCGATGCGTCGGGCCAAGACTCGTTCAAACAATTTCCCGAGCTCATCCAACAGGCAGATAGGCCTGAAGAACGGCGGGCCTCCCCCGGGAGCGGCCAACTCTACCTTCTTCCTGTCCAAATACCTCTCCAGTCTCTCCATCATACTCCTCATCTCATCTTTTCTCTCCGCCACCAACACCATGTTGTCCGCATATGCCAACGTAAATACCTTTCTCTCTTCTATCTTCACCCCTCCCCACTTNACTCTTTCCATTTATTNCTCCAAATCCGCCAACAAAATGTTGAACAGCATGGGGCTGAGCGGACACCCCTGTCTCACCCCTCTCGCCGTCCAAAAACATTCACCTTCCCTCTCTCCTACTTTTACTCTGCACTTCGTCTCTCTTAAAACTTTCTCTACTCTCTTTACTATCCCCCCTCTCACTCCTCTTTCTTTCATTGCTTCTACCAATCTGTCTCTGTCCACGGAGTCGAACGCTGCTTTCAGGTCCACAAACATTGCCACCACTTTTCCCCCTTTCCTCTCTATCTGCCTGTTAATTAGATACTTTAAGACATATATGTTATCTATCGTCCCTATAGTCTTCCTAAAACCCGACTGATTTTGCGGTATTATTCTCTTCTCTTCCAGTTCTTTCTCTCTAACCTTTCTGCCAGTATCATCACATACAGCTTATATAGGGACGCCAGGAGAGTTACTCCTCTATACTCCTCCACTCTTCTCCCTTTTCCCTTCTTGACTATTGGCACGATAATCTCTTCCTTCCATTCCTCCGGCCACCATTCTCCCCTCCACACTCTGTTGCAGAACTCTCCTATCTATTCCTCCATGTCCTTACCTCTATATTTCCAAACTTTTCCTGGGATCCCATCAATTCCACATTCTTTTTCCTTTTAGTTTCTCTATTGTCCTCCTTATTTCTTCTTTGTCAATTTCTTCCTCCACCTCCTCCTCTTCTCCTCTCCCTTCTTCTCCCCCCATTCCTCTCACCACCTTCCTTTCCACTCCTCCCAACAATATCATAAAATAATCCTTCCATTCCTCCATTCTTATTTCCTCATTTACTCTCCTTCTTCCACCTCTCTCTCTATTCACAATTTCCCATACTTTATTCTCCCTTTTCGCCTTCTCAATTTTTCTCTCTCATCTCTCTTTCTCTTCCCTCTTTTTTCTCTTGCACGTTCTTGTGTACTCTCTTCTTCCTTTNCTAAACTTGTCCTCTTCCCCTTTGCCTCTCCTCCACTCNNTTAATATTNTTCTCACCCTCTTCTTCTNCTTCCTGCACTCTTCGTCCCACCATCCTTTCTGTTTCTTCCNCCCCGATTCTCTCTCTCTTTCCTCCTCTACTTCTTTCAATAACCTTTTCACTCATACACCTCCAATTCTCTAACTTACTATTCCATTTCTCTAACCCCCCACATCTTTTGCTTGAATTTCTCTCTTTCTTCTGTATCCCAAATTACCCTCCAAACTTTCTTTTCTCTACTTTTCCTTTCTCTTCTTATTCCTGTCCCCTTCATCCACACCTCTACCGGATAATGATTTGAATCGAACCTGTCTCCTATATCTCCAACCTCTCAATTCTTTCTCTTACTTCCTCCTCCCCTACTACATAATCTATTATCGTGTTTCCCTTACCTCCCGTAAACGTATATTCTCCTTCTTCATCTCCCTTCATACAACCGTTGAATATGCTCCAACCACTCTCCCCAACCCAGTTCAAAAATTTTTTTCCTTCTGCATTTATTATTCTATCTTTCGCTTTCCTTTCTCTGCGTTCTCCATCCTCTCCCTCAAAACCACCTCCTTCCCCATCTACTCTTGCGTTGAAGTCTCCTCTAATTATCAGCTTACTGCTTACTTCCTTCCTGTCTGTCCATCTCTCTAACTTCCTCCTCATACTCTCTACTCCTTCATTCACATATACTCTTATAATTCTCCATCTCTCCTTATCCACGCTTATCTCGCACATCATTGCTCCCTCTATTCCCCCTTCTATTTTAATCTCTCCATCTGCCAAATCTTCTCTTACTCCCATAATCATTCCTCCTTTCGCCCTTCCTTTTTTTCCTTCTTTTATGGCTTTTTGTACCCCCCATTTATACCCCTACAATACTCTCCCCTTCACTTTATCCCACTACTCTTTCTTCAACCATGTCTCACTTAATACTATAACTTCCCATCTTTTTAAGTTCTCCCAAAATTCCTTATTCTTATTTTTTACTCCCGCAACATTCCAAAACATTATCTTCCATCCCTCCCCTTTCCCTCTCCCTTCTTTTTGTATCGCTTTCCTTCTCTCTCTCTCTCCTCCCCCCTCCTCTTCCTTCTTCCCTCTTCCTCATCTCCCCTCTTCCCTCAACCCCTCTAGCACTTCCCCCGTATTCTCTTTTCTCCTCATATCTTTTTTATCTATCAGAATCTTTTCCTCTGCTTCCCATTGCGACCGGAGGCTTCGGGGAGCGGCGTTGACGTCATCCAGATTCTNAACGAATCACTTGACTCAGAGATGGATCGACTATTTGATGCGGCTGTCTCCACGGCGGCGGCGAGGCTCCAGGATTTNGAGCGGCGTCTAGCGGAAAGGAAGGACCTCCAACATCGGCGCTCACCGGAAGAGGAAGTTGGTGNTAGAAAAAAGAGATCAGCATCNACGGGGTGAAGAGTTAGGACAGAAAGTAAAAGCGTGTACAGNGACAATCAGTCCAATCAATAATTTGTTTTGTTTTGAGATTTGCACTGTTTTGCGTTGTGCGTGGAAAGTCTGTTCCGTTTTAGTTCTTTTGCGTTTTTGTTATTTTAAAGTCCAATCAAGAAAATTTTATTTTGGATGGCCCAAATTGAGGGGGTCACCCGTTTAAGGTAACGTTTAAGTAAAAGGCTGTAGTTGTCGTTTGAATCTACTGGGGTGCACTCAGTAGGTTCGCGAGTGTAGAGGAACGTAAGAATTTGCAACAATTGGGGTAGTTAAAGTTGACACCTACCAGGTATGAAGTTGCGGCAAAGTTGTGAATTGTGGCTAAGACTTTGCGTGCGAGTTGTAAACCGTTGTAAGAACCTTCAGCCCTAGTATCAGCGACAATTGGTAAGTTTCAGTTTTGTAGTATAAGGTAGGGTTGCCGTGTATCTACAAAATAAAAGAAACGAATTGTTGACAAGAACACCTGGAAAGTGTTTGAAGGTCTCCCTGGTTGAAGGAAAGGCACAATTTACAACAATTAGGGTAGTTTAGTATCATACCTGGGTAACCTCCGGTTTCCGTTTGAGAGACAAATTGTGACTGAAATTTTGTGTGCGCATTTCTGGATGGACCAACATCACATCCTGCAATTTTGGTAAACAATTAGGAAGTTTTAGTTTGTAAGTGCGTATTTACCTCAGATGTGCGTATCGGGAGTAAAACCTCAATGGTTGACAGTATTCTTGGGAGGTGTTAGTTGTACCAGTTTAGGATGATCCCCAAAGTTTTATCGACGTTAAGGACTTTTAAGTTTGTACCTGATTAGAGATCATCCTATCTGGAAAGGTAAAAGGCGTGAGTTGTTGAAAAGACTATCTGGAATGGTCATTGTGAAACTAATAGGGACACTTGCGATCAAAATTTTTAACAATTCGGCTAAATTTTGTTT